GACTTTCTTTCGAGCCACGCGAAAAGAAAATGTTCGGTGGTTTAGAGTCGGTGGTAGGACTAGAAAATCTGGCTTCGAGGAACGATATTACGGCAGGTCCGGTGGTAACGATAGCGTAACGGCACTTGCCACGCCACGGAGATCGTTCTTCTTACATCACGTCGTGAAAAATCGACAAACCGCGTTGCGGAACGAGCAAACCCGCCCGGCGTACTGTGTATTATTATGTTCGTCGAAATTTCGTAATACAACAGTCCCCACTTAAGCGTCCGCATTTGGGACCAATGTTTATTTTGCGAATATCGGTACCAAGTATCACACGCTTTGTGTCGTACAAGTGTCGTGTTTCATTCGGCGTTCGTCACAGTTTCAATTCCAAAAAATTAAATTAATGCAATAAATATATAATGTATAATATTAATATATAAATATTATAATATTATAATTTCATAAATATTATAAATATATAATGTATAATATTAATATATAAATATTATAAATATATAAATTATTTTAAAATAAATATATAAATACATAAATTATATAATATTTATATATAAATATATAACATAACAAATATATAAAAATTAAATTAAGCGAACGCTCAAGAGCGCAGCACGTGAAGGATAGAATTGAAATTTCACTGCTCGTGATGTCCGAGGGAATTATGCTAATTGTTTGCTCGAAATTTCTATTGCCGAATTCTGGACGAGATACGGAGATGTTGGGAACGCTTCGCGTTTAATTTATGATTTATCGCTGAAACCCTGAGGAGAATTTAAACTCTGCGTAGCTTGTACCTTCAATTCCCGTAATTCTTGATAAATCAGACGGGAGATCGACTTGCTGAGAATAGGTCTATTATGCAAGAAGATTTATGCAAAGCCGCCGAGAGATCGATAAATTAAACTCAATCGCTCTATTTTTAGAATCTGACTGAAACTTCGTTGTTCGAAGATTCGAACCGTTTGCGGATACCGGCGCCAATTTCTCGACTCTGTAGAAAATTAATCGAGAATTCAATTAAGCAATCGGATCTGGTTACCTCGAGATAATTCATCATGTCATTTACATAATTATATATATGTATAAGAACCGTCTTCGATCAAGACGGAGAGGCATCTCCTATTCATCTCCGGATTTATTAATAAAAATCAGGATGTAGAATAAATGAAGTTAAAAAACATAACTTTCGATGGATCAAGATTCCAATTTATCCGTAATCTGCGTTTGAATATATAATTTTCATAAAGAAATATTCAAAAAAATGTTTATATTAACAACGAAAAATGATTTAAAAACACAGTTTTTTTTTTAGTATATTGTTTGAACAAAATTAAATTCCTCATTTAAAAAAAAACACTAATTTCACCAATTTACACGAAAACTGTATCTTCAGTAATTTCCGAGATATTTGACAAAAAATACGTTCCGGACCCGCAATATATTTGAGGGTAGTTTTCACCCCTACAACATTGCCGATAAAAAAGAAAAATATGTATCAAATATATCTTCGAGAACTACAATGTGATTAATTATGCCCAATGTGATTAAACTTCATCAAAATTAACACACTTCGGTACGTTCCCTTGTCTAGGTGCCTTATCTACGATCGACCAAAAAGAAAGCGAGTCGGCGATCCCGTGACCCGGCATTTGTCCGATTTAAATCCCTTATCGAGTGAAAAAAAAAAAAAAAAATGCTGACAATGCGTGTCGCGCGAAAGTGAAAGCACTCGTTTCGAAATCGTTTTTTTTTTTCTTTTTTCTTTCGTGTAACGAGCCAAATGAATTCGTGCTACCTGCTGCGGGGCCGATCGAGGCGAACGTTCGGCAAACAAGAGCGTATATATATATACACGTATATATCGCGATCGTGCAAACCGTACGAATCTCGACCGAGGCGCGACGACTTCCTCCTTTCCAGCTAGACGTGTCGCTTGGAAATGGCTCCACCTTTCCGAACGTACGTCCTTGAGCAAACCGGTGCACCGGGAAAGGTGATGAAAAACCGGCCAGTCACGTGTACCATGCCGGCGCGAGCGGTTGTTTGCCCTCTTCTCGTCGCGCATTCCGCCGATCTTCTCATCGATACTTGCGCCCCATCAGTCGGCACGACGCGTCAAAGTGTACGATCCACGATTTTACTCGATCTCTGCAGTGACTCGACGTCGTCGCGTTAGAACAATCTCGAAGGAAGTACAACCGTAGTTCAGTGTTCGAAAGTGTTTTCGCAACGGAAGAGTTAGACGCGACCGAGACATTCTCGAGCGAGGAGGCCAGGAGTCCATTCTCGCGGCGGAAGCGGACGCCAACAGCTGACGCCAACGAAACGGCCCGACTAATGCGTTTTAAATCGCGTGCGTTCGCCAGCAGACGAATGCCGATCGTTTCGGAGAAAGCGAAATACACGATGGTTGACGGTCGATCGCGACGCGTTCCGCGGACAAACGTCGCCATGCAGATTAGATTAATCGTTATCGGCTCGAGCGTGAAATAAGTTTCGCGAAGCGGACGATCCTCAGAGAGCGACAATTCGAGTTACGCTCGTCTTCCTTCGTTTTTTTTTTTTTTTCTTCTTCTTCTTCTTTCTGATCGAGAAGACCGTCGATGGGCAAAACGTCGCGTGTGCCTGCGCGTGTGCGTGTTTGAAAAACCTCGGAGCGCGGTTCCCCTCGGAAGAGGCGCATTATCGCGTGTGGCAACTCGATTACAGGCCACTCTCGGCGACGTCCTGCTGAACGATTATCGTTTATTCGCGACCACTCCGGAAACTCGCTCCGGGAGAAAGGTACTCTTTCACAGTCCACGCAACAGTGCTATCAGTGTGTTTGATAATATAAAAAGACGCTTCCGATTGGGAGAAGAAACATCGAATCGACAGTGACAGTAGACGCTTTCGATACTTTCTAACGGGCAAGGGGCGCTACGTTTTTCAACGAGTCTGACTTTGACTCTTTCTCTGGTGTCAAGTGTTCCTCCCTTCGACTCTGGTTCCGACAAATTTATACATTCGAGTATAACAACTCCACCGACAAATTAGGTACGTGCTATTATTTACACAGCTGCGACGTGCAATTTTTCTCGATTCTCAAGCAATTCCGATTACTCGGCTTTCAATAACCAGAGCTTGTCGTACAACGTCGCCGCAATCTGCAAACGGCCATAAACAGCCAATTGCCGCCATTACATACACACACGTCGTAGCCAGCAGGAACAGAAAGAAAAAAAAAAAAAGAAAAAGAAATACAACCTTATTATCTTTCTTGCCGACGGTGATAAATCACAAAGCTCAATTAACTCGACTTCAAACATCCATCGACTTGCCTGCCGGCGAACGCGCTGGAACGAACACAGGGAGATAAAAGGCAGTAAATTCAGTTTCTTCTGTCGGAAACAAGAACGGTGCGGCGGAGTTACTTCCGCGAGATCGACGACTCCGACTCCGTTGCTGGGCTAATGCATCCGTGAGCTCGGCCCAATACAGAGAAACGCGAGCGAGCTTACGTTTGTTACTCTCCTACGGAGTTGCGAGTGATTACGAGTATACTCCAGTGACCCGTGAATGTTTGTCGACCGTTCACCGGCTGTTCACGAAGGGAAAGGCGTGGCCCCCTCCCGTCCCACATTCCCGCGTATCGTTCGCTATTCGCGTCAACGGGCCTGACGAATTTCGCGAAACTCGAACGCGAAACCGTGCTGCTCTCTTTACGAAGGAGAATTAGCGGTTCTCCGATCGAGGAGGTAAAAGAACACGTTCAAACGGACGTGAATGCAATATGACATATGAATTTGATCCGTATCGAGCTATTAAACTGCACTCGGGCAAAATGCGACTAATTTTGGACATCACAATTAGCTTGAAAACAAATCACCTGTCTTTTTGCTGTCTGCGAACAAATTTCACAAAATTCTGCCGATTTTTATTGGAACGCTTGGCAGAAAGCTACGTCCCGATCCTTTCTCGGCCGAGATATCTTTATCGCGCGTCAAAGAATATTGTCTTCTTAATTTAATTTCAGAAACTCTCTCTCTCTCTCTTTCTTTCTCTTGACATTTTGTTTCCGAGTTCCACGAAAATGAAAAGTTCTCGCATTTCGAGCTCCCCATTCAGAAGCCTCCCGCGTATTTTAATAACCAGACTCTAGAAACTAGAGAATTACTACTTCCACGCAATAGTTGAGAAAATGTTGCAGTTTCAATGGGGAAAGCAAAATTACTCCCGTGGAACGGAAACACCTCGGCAGAATAAACTTGTACTTTCGTTGCGCCAGGTGGCGGTACACCTCGCTACTAGCAAACTCGGGCAACGAGTGCTGCTCGGAAAGAGACACGACGTGATCATCGGATTGACCGGTATTATCGAAATCACTGTGCTCGTTAAATGTCCAGACCGCGGATTTTTATGCATTCACGGAAAATTTGAAGGTGCAGCCTTATTCAAAATATATAAAGTATATAATATAATTTTATATTATATATAAATATATATATATTAATATTTTATAATATAATCCAAATTTTATCCAAAAATATATAAAATATCCAAAGAAGGGTTTTAATTAATTATATTATAATTATATTATATTATATTAATTATATTATAGTTATATATTCTACATAAAAGAAACAATTTTCCATTAAAAGAATATATGAAAACTCTAAAAAAGTCTAATAACGTCCAATAAGACATATTGCAACTTGTCTTTAAAGAAAATATATAAAATATAATAATTTATATTATATATAAATATATATATTAATATTTTATAATATAATCCAAATTTTATCCAAAGAAGGGTTTTAATTAATTATATTATATTATATTATAGTTATATATTCTGCATAAAAGAAACAATTTTCCATTAAAAGAATACATAAAAACTCGAAGTCCAATAACACATATTTCGACTTTTCTTTAGAGACGCGCATGTCCTTTGATAAAAATCCTACGCTAACAAAAATACGAAATGGTAAAGAACTGCTGGATTTCTGTTGCAGACGATGCAGAGAAGACTCGCTGCGCGAAAGCTCCTGTTGGCAATAGTGTTGACGACCTGTTTGTCAATGGTGGCATCATTATCGAGCAGGGAAAGGCGGCACGTCGGCGCGGAGGTACCGAGTGATCGAGTAGACAGGACGCGCACGCCGGCCGGCCGTAGTAGTATCAAGTCATCGACCAGCAGAGACAACGAGATAACTACGGAAGCCGGAAGGAAAGTGTCACACAGGCTGATTGGAGGCCACTTGCGAGCGGACGCGAGGCAAGAAACGCTCTGGGATGACGGTATCCTCTTGTCGTCCGCTGGCAACGGCAGGGAGACGAAGGGGGCCACTAGCCGCAAAGACGAGGACGACGAGAAGAAAACTCTCTCCCAGCAGGTGAAAGAGGGGAAATACGGTCTCATACAGAACGAGATCTACGGGAGCCAAGAACCTAAACGGCCAGGGATAATCAGTTACTTGGGCAATCCGGAAGTGCCGAAAGACACGATCGACAATCTCGGTGGCCTCGACGAGGACGAGATCTGGCTGGCTGAGAATCACGTGCTGGTGCTGAGGGGAGGCAAGTTTCCTGGCCACGAGACGTCGCAAGGCAGCGGAGACAGCACGCAGACCTGGCCACCGATCGACGATTACAAAGCACCGAGAAGACAAGTCAAGATACCATCGAAACCGAAGGTACCGCCGCCCTTTCCGGTACAGCTCGCAGAGGGTGGCCCGATACAGATCATCGGAACGAACGGCACCAAAGAGATCGGCAACGGGACAGTCGACTACAGAAAGGAACCGTTGCTCACCAAGGGGCTGCTACCGGATGATGGGCCGCTTCTCGCTGTTATAGCCAACGGGACGATTCTAACGCCGGAGAGCTCGAGGAACGCGTCCTCCGAGGAAGAGAACTCGAGCGTGAGGAACAAGGACGACAAATCCGACATCCTACCGCCTGGAAGTTTCCCGCCATTTTACCACGCGATTCCACCCGGCGCTGTGTTCGTACCACCGCCGAGCAATCACTCGGATTACGACGAGGATGATCAATCCATTTACTATCCACCGCCGTACAGTTTCCAGTATCAACAGGACAATGCGACAGCTGTGCCGCCAGGTCCTCTCGTCCCAGGGATCATTCTTCCACCACCGCCAGACTTCTTCTCCGCTCTCGAAGAGAAGAAGACCACGACGAAGAAGTACGCGAAGCGACCCGAAACGACTCCCGTACCGAGACCCAGGCCTACCTATCTACCGCCGAGGAAACTGACCACGAAGCAACACAAGAGTCCCACCACGGAGTCAGACCTCTCCCGAGCCACGAAACTTGGACCATCTGTCACTGTTACGTCAGGCATTACGAAAACGTACGGTCGGGCAACGTACAAAAATTTGACGAGCAAAAGTAGCCTCGCTGCTACCGGCAAGCCCCCCAGCGTAAGAACGATTCCGTACACAGAGGTTACGACATCGCTGCCCGATAAATCGACCACGCTCGATAACCCAGACTTCTACAACATCGGCCCGTTAACGGAGAATCAAGTGACCAGTCAAGAGAACGCACACAAGCAGAAGGATCAAGCTTGGTCGGGTCTAGTGACCAGTAAAACGATTCCGATAGTGGCGTACTACGCCACGTCAACGCAGTCCACCTTGGAGAGGCCTGTGGAGGTAACGCCGGCCTCGATAAAGAGTATTATTACTACCAGCAACCCGGAACGATCGCCCAGCCAGGCTTCTTACTACTTTTACGAGGAATCCCACGAGCCTCCCCTTCGAGCCACCACTCCGAATCCGTCGTCGATTTATTACAAAACTACCACCGAGTCGCCTTTCTACGAGACGGTGACACAACCGCGGGCAGAAGAGAAGAAGAAACAGTATTACAGCGTGGAGACAGTCCCGTCGCGGCAAACGTCGAAGGACTACAGTATTAAGTTTATCGGCTCGCCGGTGAAAAATTCCGGGCCCGTACGTTACAGCGACTCGACGGTCACGCAAAGTTCATCCAAGTACGAGAGCGGCTCGGCGAGAACTCAGGGTCAACGTATGTTACCCGATCACGCGCCTCTTTACTATCAGGCCATATCTGTTCGTCCGGTGGTGCCCGTGCAGTCCTATTACACCACCTCGAAGCCGCAGACCTATTACAGGCAAGAAGCGAAATCGAAGCCGATCTACCAGTACAGCTTCGAGGCGACGGAGTACTCGAAGCAACAGCAAACCAACGTGTTCAACGAGTATCAGAACGTGAAAGACGACGGGAGGTACAGTAATCATCGATACGATTACGAGAACGAATCGATGCCTCGGAAGAGGGTCAGACCGCAACCGTACAAGAATCAGCAACCGATCTATCCTTCGACGACGGCGCACACGGCGATTAGCACGACCGACAATCCTCAACACTCCTATTACACGCAACAGGACGAGAAGTTCTTGGACGACGTGACGAAGGAATATTTCACCATCTTCGGCAAGAAGATACCGCACAAGGGTATACCGAGCACGACTCCCATATACTCCAAGTCGAACAGTATCACCGAACGGCCAGATTACAACGTGAACGCCTACGTGGAGAGTTACAACACGCCAGAGCCACCTGTGTACAAAACACCTAACGTCAAGGTGCACTACGGGGACCAATCTCAAAGGCCGTACTCCCTCAAAGACGACATTCTTGTCAACTACAGGCAGCCTCTGCCTCCCATCAACCCCGACAGCGAGTTCATCACGGTGGTCGATCCGAGCCAGCAACAGCCACCCGATTACAGGATAGCCAACAGAGAGGACCAACCACTGGCACCGATCCGCGCCTATCCATCCCAGCCGTTGGCGAATCCACGAAACGGTGGTCCACCTACCAACTACGTGCCGGTCGTCGAGTCTTCGGAAGAATTGGACGAGGCATACCCTCAGCTACCCATATCGCTGGAAGACGACATCAAAGTGAACTACCGCGACCCACGACCAACCATAAATCCGGACGCCGAATTCATCGACCCGATCCCAGTGCACGAGAATCATCCGGAAAAGCCAAAGGCCTATTTCGCGTACAGGCTGCCAGGCGACGGGGGCCACTTTTACTTCCTAACGCCGCAAGCGATCACGCAGAGGCCGGACCAAACCGCCGGTCACCTCTTCCCCAAATCGAGAGGAGCCAGACTGCTGAGACGTCGACGGAGGCCAACGGGCAACGTGTGACACCTCGTACGCGACGAGGTAGCCGCGCAACGCCATACGAATCATCGAGGACGCACGATGGAAATGCGTGTCATATGGAACGCGACGCGAGAATCGATGACGAAATACCGTTCTGTACCGTTATATTAGAATATTTATTTTACGTGTAAATATATATATATACACACACACACACATATGTATGTATACGTATATACCTTGTATGCGTAACGTATAATCAAGTTCGATGATTATCAACGCCTCATTTACGCTACGTAGAATGCTTAATTTATGCGACCTGACTTTTTCCTACCCTGCTCCCTAACCCCGCTTTAGATTGATACAGATGCGATGTTGTGTGTAACGCCGCTCGCGTGCGACGATAGGTATGCGCGGGGCTTTTGATCGACCGTTCGTACTCGCGCGTTGTCTGTGATTAATGATCGATCGCGTATCGTGTACATATAGTTGTTACTGACGACGTAGAGATATTCAATTCCGAGCGTATTTTTATAAACCGTTATATTCGAAATATGTTACATTTGACCGCGCATGCATGAAATAAAGTTCAAAAAGACGAAATTTCCTACATCTTGTCTAGAATTTCAAGGACGATGCAAGATGGTACAAATTTGATTGCAATATCGATACTGTTTTGTTTTACTTGCTGTACGAGACTCTACGAATTTTCAATTGATCGATAAATTTATTGTAAATATATATGTGATGCGAGTCCGAGTGACGTTCTTAATAAAAATTAATAGGTAGTACTATCATATATATAGGATTAAACTAAAATGTAAATGTATCCTTTTCAAACAATACGTGACTTCCAACTGATAATGGCAAATGATCTTTGAAAAATCGATTGTTTATAAAGTTACGAATAAAAATAAACGTTTAAAAATCTGAACGACTCGAAGTAATATTTCACGAGCCTCTCGCTAGAAGTTATAATAAAAATAAGCAAACGCGCGCGAGCATTATATTCTTAATCACCGTTTGCGGATACGTATTAAATATAAACAACTCGACGACAGTTAGTAGCCGATAAAAATAACCGATACAAGGAACTTACCGGTGTCGATTTCCTGCGCTTGAGTCGGATCTGGTAACGGTTCATCGTGTAGTCGTAAATAAACCTCCACTGCACATTTTGCTGCTTTAAAATAAAACGGATGAGCCCGTAATACGTCTTCTAACCTTAGGAGACCCACGTAGGACCTCAAAGTCATCTTTCTCATACAGTAGGTATGAAAGTCAAATTGATCTTCTATGATTTCAGAAAAATGCTGCAATCAATAGAATTCATTTAAGAACAGATAATAAGGTATTATTACTTGCAAATATATGTTGTTGAAATCTACCCTGTCAACTTCGTGGCATTTCTTTAACGCTTCCCCGTACTTTCCAAGGCGTTTGTAAGCATTAGCGGCTTCTGTCTGAATCCACATACATTGCATTTCGTTTAGATTCTCCATGGCTAAAACTCCTTCTCTGGTAAACTTGCCACAAGTTTCTTCCGCTTCCTTGATCAGATTTGCACGCAACATATACTTGGCACATTTGGAATTAATATACCTATCGGCTGTGTCTAATCCTTGTGCTTCGTCCAACCACTTATAAGCCTCTTGGACGTTACCAGCATGCTAAGGATAAAATACAATTGCATTATTAAAGAAATATATACACGTTACGAAAATTGAAACCTCACCTTATAAATGCGACCTTTGGTAACAAAAAGTTCTATAAGCGTAGGTGTGTGTTCTATGGCAGCATCAATTTCGTTTAACGCTTTTTCTGTAAGTCCAAGGTGATCGTAATGTTGTGCTAAATAATAATAAGTCCATAACAGTGCCGAAGCTGGTTCTCGCGGGTTATCTTTCTCTTGATCACTAAAATGCCCATGAGCTTTTAACGCCTCCTTATATTCCAAAACCAAAGACTGTATAGTGTCAACTTTTTGTTGATCGTTATATAAGGAACGAAGATTTACAAACAGAGGTGGTACACCTTTATGAAGACCTGCAGTATAAATAGAACATAGGCTAATGATTTAAATTCCATGTAAAAATATTACCAATAAACCATACCTCTTCGTAAGTACCGGTCTACTAATATCTTAAATTCATCGCCTATAGCATAATTTAATTGTAAGCGACGCGGCGCTAGCGCTCGAGGAAACAAGTCTTCGTATCTTTGGAGCATAGCTAATGTTTCTTCAGGTTTAGTGTGTCTTTCAGCCTCTGCTAGCCTAGCATAATAAGTTGTATTTTCAGGATTTATATTTAAAAGTTCCTTATAAACCTGAACTGCTTCTGCATATTGTTTTAATTGTAATCTTAATTTACCTGTTGGAAATTAATAAAAAAAACACTGTTACAAAACATTTAGTTTTTATAGTTAGATTACGGAAAATTTATATAACATACCATATGTTTCTTTTACAGTAACTTTATCACAAATTTGATCACTATACTTGTCAAGATGTTTCAATGCTTGTTCACATTCTCCTGATTCTTGTATAACCATGTTTTGATACAATAGCAATTCACTATGCTCGTAATCATAACAAATCTGCAGATTTTAAAAATGTCTGTATGTCCTGTATTATATATTATAATATGCAAACTTATGTTATTAATATTAAATTTAAATATAAAATTAAAAAAATTTTGGTGTGTTATTTAATGCTATTTTTTTTTTATATATAATGGCAAATTACATAATACTGAAGAACATACCATTGGGGAATTCCGAAACGTATCTAAAATTTTAAGTGCTGTTTCATAGTCCTTTAATAAATGATATGAGATAGCAAAACCAATCCACGAAGCACGCTGTGTAGGACGTAACATAAATAATTGATACCTTGTATCCTAAAACAAACACAAATGCAAACATTATTGTCAAATATAAATTAGGTTAGTAAATGCAATTTATGGAAAACAGATATGATAATAAAACAAATTACATGTAAACAACAAATAGGAGTAAGATCCTTTATTAAATTACTTACCTTATAGCCCTCCAGATCCCTCATTTGAATTTGAAGCAACGATAAGTCCCTAAGAATTTGAATGTTATCCTTGTCCCATTTAAGAGCATTTCTATAACACTTGATGGCTTCATCATATTTCTTATCCGAGCGTTGTAGAAGTCCGTAAACGTGCCAGCAAACATGTGACTGTAAATCATTCCTGAGACCCCTCCGGACATGATCATATGCTTCTTCTTTGCGACCTAAGCAGTTCAGAGTGAGACCTTTCATTGCCAAGGTCTCTCCATGTTCACTAAATTTTGGGTTTGATAAAATTTGCTTTGCAAACTTTATCCCATTTTTATATTGTTTATGTTCGTAACACCTCTGCAAGAAACATAAATACGTTTCATAGAATAAAACGTTTTCATGATTTCAATGCTATGTATTTGGACAAACTGGCATTATAAGGTATCGCAAAAGATAAACAAAAAATCATCTTTTCATTCATAAGACTGATAAAACCTCTGTGACCCGTGGTTGCCAGTGAATTTTTTGCATTTTTTCGAAGAGTGCTTCATCATTAGAGTATGAATACTTCTATTAGCCGGAGTGGGGTCCAAAACAGAGTATTTCGATTGCATATTACTTACCAGAATTCGTTTAAACAAGGCATTTTCTTTGGGTGGCAAGGGATTACTGGAGGGCATTTTTGCATAAATACAAAAATATTGGGCCTTTTCCACCCGGTAAACTTAATTTTCACCACAAAACCTCGTGGCCACAAACGAAGAAGTCGATCTTCGATCACGTGATCATCTGCGACAATGCTGTTCCGCCGGAAGTTCTACAGCCACGGTGCCATACACTTTAATATACTTTATGACTTTTACAAATTTGCTAACAATAATAATACGTTCTACGCGTACGTTCGCGTTTATATTCCGTTCGTTTCGATGCGTTCGATGATTTTACTTTTTTCAGTATTGCATGGAATACGTATATCTAAGTAATGATAACTAACAATACTTAGGCAGCATTTCTATGAAGCTAGAAAGGTTATGTAGAACGTGATATCAATCGAATGAAAATTTCAGCACTGTAATATGCATAACAAGATTGTTTTTTAAACATGTTCTATATGAATTTTATAAATATTTGAAATTATTTATATTTTCCCGGATTGTTGGTAACACTAAGCGTTATTTACAAATTTTTTATTTCACGATTTGTCTGCTTCTGGAAACGAACCTTGTGTTTTGTGACAATCACATAGATTTTAGACGAGAAGGTTTGCGAATCTTTCAAACAAGTATAAAATATAAAACGTAAAATACAAAAATATAAAAAATTTGTAATATACATTTTTTAAATGTAGTTGAATGTGAATATATAGAAATAATAATTTTATACAATATAAATATGATTTTATATCTTATTGTACGGCTGCAATTGCATAAGAGGTTATGAAAACAGTGTCGCCGGATGATGTCAGTTGTGTTATTTAGTGATTTGTGCTAATTGTGTAGACATTAAGTTTTATATGAATAAAATATGTCGGTAATATGTAGAAAATTGTGCTCTTCTATTTTGTCTGAGCACTTTGGACAAATTGTACAATGCGTAGCTGAAGATTTATTTAAACATGATGCAAAACCATTAGACCTAATTTGTTATACGACACGTCTCCCTCTAACAAAGGTATAAATTAATTTATTTTAATTTAGTCTTTATAGTTTGTTTATTTATAATATTCTCATTTTGTCATAACTAATATTTAATATTGTTTTTAGATTAAAGAAGCATTATGTGTTTTAATAAAACATGGTTTTGTTGTATATAGTCAAACAGAAAGGGGACTGGAATATTCTTTAATTTATGAAAATATTTTACTTATTCTCCGTTATCCAAAGTAATATATATTTCATATGATGCAAGTAAATATATATAAAAGAAATTTTATTAAATTTATAATAAAATGTTTAATTAAATGTTTTAATTTTTATAGGTATATGTTCTTTGTAAAAACAATGTGTGGCGACGAATCTGAAATGATTTTAGAAGAAGTATTAATGAATGGATACATAACAGCTTCAGAAGTAATTACAAAAACATATAAAAAAATTGAGCAGTCACCTTGTATGTAAATTCATAGTTTGAAATTTTTTGTTGAAAATTCTACCATATATTTATTCTACTCTATATTCAACTATATATTTATATTTTTAGCTGGTCTGCAACCATCAGTTCCAGTTCTGAAGGAAAAGTTCGAGTTACTTGTCAAAAACCAATTTTTAACACGTAGTTTATGTACAGACACAGTTGAAGAGAAAAGAAATGAAAAACCTGATTTTACATTACCCGATTTGAATTTAACTGCTATTATTAAGAAAATAGAAGGTGATAACAATAGCGATCCTGGGGATAGTAAAATTTATTGGAAAGTTAATTTTGACCGTCTTATTCAAGACCTTAGGTGAGACTTTCAGAGTAGTATTGTGATAATACATAAGACACATAAGAAATTTACAATGTAATTTATAGGGATCAAATTATTGTATCAGCTATAACCAGACGGCTTGATGAAAATGCAGGAGAGTTAATGAGGCAATTATTATTTCTTATGTATTTACGGACAGCATCATGGGCACATACATCCAATCCAATACCTTTTACAGAAATAAAGGAAGCAGTTAAAAAAATCAATTATCCGTTACTTACACATCATATAGATCAATATTTACATCTTATTGGTATGTACAACAAATGTATATAAAAAGTTTTGCAATGTATTTAAGTATTGTAAAGACCATTGAATGATACTTAACTAAATATATCACACCAGAGGAAGATTCTAGTCAATTTTTGAAACGAGTTGGAGAGTCAGGTGGCCATTTTTGCGTTAATATGAAGGGGGCGTTTGAACAATTAGCATGGGCAACATTAGAAAACATTGTAACGGAGAGGTTTGGTTCGAAAGCAGCTAGAATCTTTAGGTAGGATTAACACGATTTTAATATCGATTAGTTTCAGTATTTTCATATTAATTTCAATATTTCCAGATTAGTGCGTGATAAAAAGTACATTGAACAGGAACAAATTCAGCAATTAGCAATGATCCCAGCAAAAGAAGCGAAGCATCTGACGTACACTTTATTACAAGAGAATTATCTACAAATCCAGGAAATAAAGAAATCTGGAGTATCAGCTGCACCGATAAAAACATTCTTTTTGTTTCACATTGATTTAAATTTAGTTGTTCACATGGAAGTGGAACATTGTTACCAAGCACTGTACAATATTATGCAAAGGCGAGAGTATGAAATAAGCAGCAATAAGCGGATGATCGATAAACAATTGCGAATGCAAACTCTCACGACTAATTTGAAAGAACACGGTGCTACTGAAGAGCAATTGGCAGAGGTGCATATGATATTCGTTATTATATTATTTGTAATTGTTCAGTAACAAAACAATTACAGTCAAATTGTTTACAGATTGCAGACTTGATGACACCGTCTGAGAAACAACAATTAGATAAAGTTCAAAATAAAATTAAGAAATTGGGTATTACCGAATTGCAAATTGATGATACTCTATTCTTATTAACAATGTATTTACGTTATCACTGAATAAAGGCGTATTTTTCTAAATGTGTCAAATTTTCATAAGTGTCAGCGGCGCTGTTCATTTTTACTATCCACGAAAGAACAAATACATCAAATTTCATTCATTTATATAGGTATTTATTTATATATAATAATGGTTACGCTTGTAAAATACAAACAACAAAGAATACCTAACTTTCAAATTATTGTAATAAATATAATCATATATCTATGTTTATAATAGTGCTGCTCTCTATGTGATACAGTGCATTTGATGTCACTATCCATCAGGGAAAATAATCTTGGAGTACACACCTTTAAATGTTCTATCATTGACAAACACTTCGTGTAATTATACGAATATTTTGATCTATGCGATATGAATGTATGTTAGTTGATTAGAAAGAAATTATTAGAGTTATGAATCACAGCCAGCTCAAGGTGCCTTATGGATCAGTAAATAAGTTGAACGCTGCAAATGCTATTTATAATTAGCTAAAACTTAATTCCATTACGGTATGTACGCAAAGACTGGAGACCATCGTGTTTGGTGTGTCATTAATATCGTACGTTTTGCTTCCAAGTATGATTTTCCCTTAATTCCTATTATATGCTGTGTACGTTCATCTCAACACTACCGCGATAAAACGAACTGTTCCGTTGCAAATATTTATCAGTCATGAAAATTTAAAGCACGCAATGTTAACAGTGAAGATTCACCAATCTTAAATTATATATACATATATATATATATATATATATATATATATATATATATATATATATCACTAAAATAAATTTTGAGAATATTTTCTTACGAATCCTGAAATACATTTCCATATTATAAATGAAATTAAAGAAATGCTTAAAAACAGCAATAAAACTTTCGAGATTGAAATTGCAGCACATTTTACAGAAAAGAAAAATAGGAGTGACTTCGAATTGCAACGAAACAACTTGTATATACAGACAAATTTGAACAAACATGAACAAAGCAAACGAGTACAATGTATAAACTTTTGTTCATTTCATAACCGGTAACGATTGTAATTAGCTTTTTGGTAACTGGCGACGGTTGTATTCTCTGTGTACTAAAGCTGACGCACCTATCTTCGTTGCATAATTGAAATTTCGCACACAAAATTGTAGGTGTGACCAAACAAACAATTCATTTACAATTTGATACAACATAATTTGAATAAAAGATCAACAATTTATATGATGCAATCAAATATCAATTATACATTTGTAATTTCACTGCTCGTACAATGCAGTCAAATACACATCTTATGCGCACTGAAACAATTAATCATATTCGCATAGTGAAAACAATATGACAGAAGATAATGAAATATTATGATCGTTTCACGTATTCACAATTTCTAATTTTAATTTTTCAATTTTTCTATTTGCTTATAACAAGAAATATTCGTTGACTCAGTTACGCTGCATGTGAGAAAAGCAGAATTGCTATATCTGCAATATATAACATTGAATGCATATTGCAACGAATCAGTATATGTATAAGGCTATTTTAGAGAACAATTAATAAAAACTATATATTTCAACACGATTAAAATCTTAAACCTATAGCAGAAAATAATCAAAACTTAAAATATGTTTTAAAAATGTATAGAGATTTTTAAAATGAAAGATATAAGATGTTTAGAAATATCTCCTGACGTAAAATAGTTAGAAAACTAAAAAATACAGTGGAATAAAATTTATCCTGAATATGGGAATTAAAATTTATTGGAATCGAGAATGTATTAAAACTATCTTCAAAATAAAGGAAATTGTGAAGCAAATATAGTTGAATAAGTCACTAAAATCAAGAAATTTTATTGAAAAGAAATATTGAATAAAACTAAATCAAGAAATATTTCTTACAAGCAACTAAAGAAACTACACAACTTTAAGAACTTAAATTTACACTATTTTTCATTAAATTTTACTATATAAACCTGTTTCTATGTATTATTAACAGTGATAAAAGCGGATTTCTACAAAACATGAGTTTAGTGATTCAGTTATGCTCCTCATAACGACGTATAACAACGATATTGTCGTTTTCTCTAACAATTATTTATATTTAAATTTTATATTTGTATGTTATTGCTGAAACTTCCTTGCTTTACATATTTTTATCTATCAATTACGAAAGGGAGTTACCAAAAACAGTATTCCCAAAAAAAATCCTCATTTGTAACGCATATATTCCCAATAGTCACCCGACAGACCTTCAGAAGAACGAATTAGAACAACTCATTGAACAAATCCCGGAACCAGTGATTCTAATTGGAGACTTTAACATTCATCACATTCTCTGGAGATCATCAAGAATCGATAACAGAGGCAAAATGATAGAGAAATTATTAACTAATCCTGCCTTAATACTTCAAAACACCAAAAACCCAACCCATTTCAATATAAGTAATGGATCTTTCAGTGCAATTGATCTGCCTATCTGCATCGCAAATTCAGCTCTATATGAAATGGGAAGTGCAAAATGATCTATATGACCATTTCCCTGTTACCTTAACCTATAAAAACGACATCCCCGATCCTGTCCTCAAACCCATTACCTACAATAAAGAAAGATCAATAAAATGAATTGGGGCATATACCAATCAACCATAAATAAATACCTCTCCAAAACAGGAGCTAAATTCGAAATTAACCCAGACAACATCGACAATGATGTTATAGAAATGGAAAAAAATCATAAATAACGGCAGGAAAGGCCGCGACAATAACCTATAGCAAGTCTAGCATTATTATAGGAGAAGAACAGTACCTTGATGAAATGAAGATTACAAAACTGCCCGTAAAGAATACCACCACGCATTCAACAAACTAAGAAGACACCTGACCACCGAAAACCTAATAGAATTTAAAAAATTAAGAGCAAAATTTAGCAGAATTATAAAAGAAAGTAGGAAAAAGTCTTAGGAAACGAATGTACCATCAATAACTCACCATACACCGACAAAAGATGTTTGGAAAAAAATCAACCAAATTAAGGGTAAACGAACATCCTTAAATACCTCTTCTTGAAACTGACGAAAAAGTAACAGTAACGAAATCAGTACACATTGCCAATACACATTGTCCTCGCAAGTAAATTCATGTCAGACACAAGTACCAGTATCCAATCGCCATCTCCTTCCTCCACGATAAACCACGAGAAATAGCCCTGAAATACTTATGACAATTCAGACTCTAAACTAAATAGTATAATAACCGTAGAAAAAATCGAAAACATACTGCTAGCTACCAAAAACTGCGCACCGAGCCTGGATAACGTTCCAAACATGCTACTGAAACAGCCACCTCTTCAAAATCGATAACTGTATCTCTGGACACACGGAGTCTTTCCCAGTAGATGGAAAAATGTAGTAGTTGTCCTAATCTCAAAAGCTAAATGTAAACATAAATTAGACAATTATCGGCCGGCAGTCTTGACGAATACCATGTGTAAACCTTCAGAAAAAATAATTAATAAAAGACTCAGATGGTTCCTGGAATCTAAAATCTAATCTCAAACCAATATGGTTTCAGACAATTGCGATCGACCATAAATGCGCTGATCAACATAGTAACCAACATCTGCGACGCATATTAAAGAAACGAAAGTACTATGGCTATATGCCTCGATATAGAAAGATCTATATTACGACCTTGAAATTCAGCATAATAAATGCACAAATCAAATGAGACATAAAGGTTCTCCTGTTAGCTTTCACAAAAAATTTCCTTGCAAGTAAAACCATCCAAGTTGAAGTTAGTGGAACGCTTCCCAGTATAATGGAAACTTCAGAATGAAGTACCTCAAGGTGCAATCCTTAATCCCATCACGGTATTTTTAATCGGTATCAATAATACAACGGAAAATCTGAAACCTACTATAAAATCCCATCTGTTGCCGACGACATAACGCTCACATACAACGGAAAAAACCTAAACTCTATAATGCAACACCTTGAAACAGTCACCAACCACTTATAAAATTGGGCCAAAGAAGCTGGACTAAAATACCCACCGCAAAATACTCAAGCCATTCTATTCATCAGAAAACGAAATTTCCATATGCCACCAAAACTGTACTTATGGAACTCTGATATAAAATACGTAAACAACGTTAAGATGCTTAGTCTTATTTTGGATTATAAATTAATATGGAAACCACATATCAATTACACGAATGCATGCATTAAAAAGTTAAACATATTAAAAATACTGACCAACAGCAACTGGAGAGCAGACCAGGAAACCCTCATAAGAACTTATAAAGCACTAATCCAATCGAAAATAGATTATGCATCAACAATATATGAATCTGCCAAACCATATATCCTAAAATCACTAAACGCTATACAAAACTCAGCCTTGAGGATGGTTAAAGGTGTACATCGTACATGTCCAAGCAGTATCCTATGTGAGAACAAAGAGATGTCACTGAAGCGAAGAAGAGAATTCCTAAGTATCAAATACGTTCTAAAAGTTTCTTCAAGACCTCAAGTTCCCACATAGAGTCATGTATTTGCAAACAGATACAAAGAACTATACACCAAGAAGCCCAACCTGTTAACCCCCATGTATGCAAGAGTCACTAAATGGTTACAACATCCTATAATACAAATGTCATCAGCGATAGAATGCAATTATTGCAAAATTGTTTCCTGGCTAATCAAGACCTCCTTAATCAACACTGACCTGGTTGGCCACTCTAAAAAACAAACAAGCAGATTATAATATGTATCAAAATTTCTAGAACTAAATGACAAATACACAACATATTTAAATACACATGTAGATGCATCGAAGACAGAATCAGGAACAGGCTTTGCAGTCATTAGAAAAAATCAAACAATTAAAATAAAACTTAAAAGTGTTTCAACATTCGCTGGTATACAATATTTTACATGCATCAGAAAGTGACCAGCATAAATAGTTCACCCAATGTAGCCGTCTTCTTAGATTCTATGAGCGTAATTAAAGTTCTTCCAGCTACATTGAAAAACAACAAACGCGAAATTA